CGGTGGGATGAGGAACCTCCTCCTTCTTTCCATGGATTTCCTCCAAAATCGGAGCTCGGGAGGATTTGGCCGGCGGGGATCGTCCCAGGAACGTTCCAGAGCTGGTTTGGGATCAGTTCTGTGGTGTCACCACCAGATCTTCTGTGGATCTGCTCCAATGGGGACATTCCAGAATTTATTTGGGATCATTCTGTGATGGCACCACCAGATCTCCTGTGGATCCTCTCCCATGGGGACATTTTGGGGTTTATTAGGGATCTATTCCATGATGGCACCAGGTCTCCCATGGATCTGCTTCGAGGGGAACATTCCAGAATTTATTTGGGATCAGTTCTGTGGTGTCACCACCAGATCTTCTGTGGATCTTCTCCCATGGGGACATTTTGGGGTTTCTTTGGGATCATTCTGTGATGGCACCACCAGATCTCCTGTGGATCCTCTCCCATGGGGACATTTTGGGGTTTCTTTGGGATCTATTCCATGATGGCACCAGATCTTTCATGGATCTGCTTCGAGGGGAACATTCCAGAATTTATTTGGGATCATTCTGTGATGTCACCACCAGATCTTCTGTGGATCTGCTCCAATGGGGACATTCCAGAATTTATTTGGGATCATTCCGTGATGGCACCACCAGATCTCCTGTGGATCCTCTCCCATGGGGACATTTTGGGGTTTATTAGGGATCTATTCCATGATGGCACCAGGTCTCCCATGGATCTGCTTCGAGGGGAACATTCCAGAGCTGGTTTGGGATCAATCCTGTGGTGTCACCACCAGATCTTCTGTGGATCTGCTCCAATGGGGACATTTTGGTGTTTATTTGGGATCTATTCCATGATGGCACCACATCTCCCATGGATCTGCTCTGATGGGGACATTTTGGGGTTTATTTGGGATCATTTTGTGATGTCACCAGATCTCCCACGGATCCTCTCCAATGGGGACATTCTAGGGTTCATTTGGATCATTCCGTGATGTCACCACCAGATCTCCCATGGATCTGCTCTGATGAAGACATTTTGGGGTTTATTTGGGATCAATCCATGATGTCACCACCAGGTCTCCCATGGATCTGCTTCGAGAGGAACAGACTCATTTGGGATCAATTCTGTGGTGTCACCACCAGATCTTCTGTGGATCCTCTCCCATGGGGACATTTGGAATCAATTCCATGATGTCACCAGATCTCCCATGGATCTGCTCCAATGGGGACATTCCAGAGCTTGTTTGGGATCAATTCCATGGTGTCACCACCAGATCTTCTGTGGATCGTCTGCAATGGGGACATTCCAAAGCTGATTTGGGATCAATTCCATGATGTCACCAGATCTCCCATGGATCTGCTCTGATGAGGACATTTTGGGGTTCATTTGGGATCATTCCATGATGTCACCACCAGGTCTCCCATGGATCTGCTTCAAGGGGGACATTCCAGAGCTGATTTGGGATCATTTCCATGATGGCACCACCAGATCTCCTGTGGATCCTCTCCCATGGGGACATTTTGGGGTTTCTTTGGGATCATTTTGTGATGTCACCAGATCTTCTGTGGATCCTCTCCCGTGGGGACATTTTGGGGTTTCTTTGGGATCATTTTGTGATGTCACCAGACCTCCTGTGGATCCTCTCCCATGGGGACATTTTGGGGTTTCTTTGGGATCATTTTGTGATGTCCCCAGATCTCCCATGGCTCCTCTCCAATGGGGACATTCCAGGACAATCCCATGGATCTGGGTCCATCCCAGCTTTCCGTATGAGTTTATCTCGGGTGGATTGGAGAGGGAGGAGCTCCCATTTTCCCTTTTTTGGTGGAATTTCCATGTTTTTCTCCTTCTGTCGTGCTCGTTCCCGGGAAACGTTGGGATTACCGACCCCCGGGCACCTTTGGCTGCCCAACGGTTGGGTTGGACCCGCCCTGGGTGGCCCTTGGAGCTGGGAGGGCCAAATTTGGGGCGGTTGGATGGATTTGGGGCCAGGCTGGGACGTGGGGGATGGAATTCCCACTTCCCGTTGTTTCCAGAGGAATTTTGGGGATCCAAGAAGCTCCAACAGCGCCAGGAACCAGAAACTCCCAAATTTTGGGCATCTCGTGGTCCTGGGTGGCCGGTGAGGGTTGGGCTTGACCTTGGAGGTCTCTTCCAACCGTAACCACTCCGGGATTCTTCTTTTCCAACCTAAATTATTCCATGGTTGAAGATTCCATCGTGGAACTCCTCGTGGTGCTGGGAACGACCCCGAATCCGCGCCGTCCATGGCAGAAATCCCTGGGCTGGGGTTGGATGGATTGAGCTGGGTTGGTTTGGTTGAGTTGGGTTTGGTTGAGTTTGGTTTGGATGGATTGAGTCGGGTTTGGTTGAGTTGGTTTGTGTTCATTTTCGTTGAGTTGCCTTGGATTAAGTTGGGTTGGGTTGAGTTTTGTTGCATTCGGTTGGGTTTGGTTGAGTCGGTGTGGATGGGTCGAGTTGGATTTGGTTGAGTTGGTTTGGGTTCGTTTTCGTTTTGGTTGAGTTTGGTTTGGATGGATGGAGTTGGATTTGGTTGAGTTGGTTTGGGTTTGTTTTCAATGGGTTGAGTTGAGTTGGTTTGGATGGGTCGAGTTGGATTTGGTTGAGTTGGTTTGGGTTCATTTTTGTTGGTTTGGGTTTGGTTGAGTTGGTTTGAGTTCATTTTTGTTTTGGTTGGGTTGGGTTGGGTTTAGTTTGGTTGAGTTGGGTTGGATGGGTCGAGTTGGATTTGGTTGAGTTGGTTTGGGTTTGTTTTCGTTTTGGTTGAGTTGGGTTTGGATGGATTGAGTTGGATTTGGTTGAGTTGGTTTGGGTTTGTTTTCATTGGGTTGAGTTGAGTTGGGTTTGGTTCAGTTGAGTTGGGTTTGGTTGAGTTGATTTGGATGGATTGAGTTGGGTTTGGTTGAGTTGGTTTGGGTTCATTTTCATTTTTGTTGAGTTGGGTTTTGTTGCGTTGGGTTGGGTTTGATTGAGTTGGGTTTGGATGGATTGAGTTGGGTTTGGTTGAGTTGGTTTGGGTTCGTTTTTGTTGAATTGGGTTTTATTGGTTGAGTTTGGTTTGGATGGATTGAGTTGGGTTTTGGTCGAGTTGGGTTTGGTTTGGTTTGGTTGAGTTGGTTTGGGTTTTGTTGTGTTGGGTTTCAATTGATTGAGTTGGTTGGGTTGAGTTGGGTTGAGTTGGGTTGGGTTTGGCTGAGTTGGATTTGGATGGATTGAGTTGGGTTTGGGTGAGTTGGTTTGGGTTTGTTTTCGTTTTGGTTGAGTTTGGTTTGGATGGATTGAGTTGGGTTTGGGTGAGGGTTTGGGTTTGTGTTGTTCGTTTTGTTGAGTTGGTTTGGATGGGTCGAGTTGGATTTGGTTGAGTTGATTTGGGTTCGTTTTTGTTGGTTTGGGTTTGGTTGAGTTGGTTGAGTTCATTTTTGTTTGGTTGGTTGGGTTGGGTTGGTTGGTTCGGTTGAGTTGGGTTGGATGGGTTGAGTTGGGTTTGGTTGAGTTGGTTTGGGTTTGTTTTCGTTTTGGTTGAGTTTGGGTTTGGATGGATTGAGTTGGATTTGGTTGAGTTGGTTTGGGTTTGGTTTCATTGGGTTGAGTTGAGTTGGGTTTGGTTCGGTTGAGTTGGGTTTGGTTGAGTTGGTTTGGGTTCATTTTCATTTTTGTTGAGTTGGGTTTTGTTGGGTTGGGTTTGGTTGAGTTTGGTTTGGATGGATTGAGTTGGGTTTGGTTGAGTTGGGTTGGGTTCATTTTCATTTTTGTTGGGTTGGGTTTTGTTGGGTTGGGTTGAGTTGGAGGCCAACTCACCGGTGACCACCCAAGCACCGACCCCGGAATGTGGAATGGGGATTTTGGGAATGTGGAACAGGGATTTTTGGGAATGTGGAACAGGGATTCTGGGAACATGGAGCAGGGATTTTTCAGAATGTGGAACGGGAATTTTTGGGAATGTGGAATTGGGATTTTGGGAATGTGGAGCAGGGATTTTGGGTATGTGGAATTGAGATTTTTGGGAATGTGGATTGGGGATTTTGGGAATATGGAATGGGGATTTTGGGAATGTGGAATGGGGAATTTTGGGAATGTAGAACGGGGATTTTTGGGAATGTGAAATTGGGATTTCTGGGAATGTGGAACGGGGATTTTGGGAATGTGGAATGGAGATTTTTGGGAATGTGGAATGGGGAATTTTGGGAATGTGGAATGGGGATTTTGGGAATGTGGAACAGGATTTTTGGGAATGTGGAACAGGGATTCTGGGAACATGGAGCAGGGATTTTTGAGAATGTGGAACGGGAATTTTTGGGAATGTGGAATTGGGATTTTGGGAATGTGGAGCAGGGATTTTGGGTATGTGGAATTGGGATTTTTGGGAATGTGGAATTGGGATTTTGGGAATGTGGAATGGGGATTTTTGGGAACGTGGAACGGGAATTTTTGGGTATGTGGAATTGGGATTTTGGGAATGTGGAGCAGGGATTTTTGGGAATGTGGAATGGAGATTTATGGGAATGTGGAATGGAGATTTATGGGAATGTGGAACGGGGATTTTTGGGACTGTGTCTCCGTGCTGGAGCTCTCCCCAGAGCAGGGATAACGGGATCTCCCTCAGCTTTCCCGTTAACCTCCTTAGCAGCGATTATCCCTCGGGTGCTGAGCCCTCCCCGAGCCAGGCTGGCAAATCCGGCTCTAATCCGGGCTCAGCTGTGCCAGGACCAGCTCTGGGAGCGTTCCCGGCCACCCCAGGGCCGAGGTTTTCCCGGGATTTCCCTCCCGGCCACCCCAGGGCCGAGGTTTTCCCGGGATTTCCCTCAGGGCCCGAGGTTTTCCCAGGAATTCCCTCCCGGCCACCTCAGAGCCGAGGTTTTCCCAGGATTTCCCTGCCGGCCACCCCAGGGCCGAGGTTTTCCCGGGAATTCCCTCCCGGCCACCCCAGGGCCGAGGTTTTCCCGGGATTTCCCCCCTGGCTCTCCTGACCCCGTTCCCCTCCGTGTTTTCCAGATGAGCCCGACCCCGCCCTCTCCGGAGCCGTCCCGGCCGCCGCTCACCGGACACAGCTCGGGTGAGTTCCCAGGGACGGAGCGGCCACGGGCTAACAGGCCGTGCCAGGGCACCCTGGAGCCATCCCAGTCCCACCCAGGCCGTGCCAGGGCACCCTGGAGCCATCCCAGTCCCACCCAGGCCGTGCCAGGGCACCCTGGAGCCATCCCAGTCCCACCCAGGCCGTGCCAGGGCACCCTGGAGCCATCCCAGTCCCACCCAGGCCGTGCCAGGGCACCCTGGAGCCATCCCAGTCCCACCCAGGCCGTGCCAGGGCACCCTGGAGCCATCCCAGTCCCACCCAGGCCGTGCCAGGGCACCCTGGAGCCATCCCAGTCCCACCCAGGCCGTGCCAGGGCACCCTGGAGCCATCCCAGTCCCTCCCAGGCCGTGCCAGGGCACCCTGGAGCCATCCCAGTCCCACCCAGGCCGTGCCAGGGCACCCTGGAGCCATCCCAGTCCCACCCAGGCCGTGCCAGGGCACCCTGGAGCCATCCCAGTCCCACCCAGGCCGTGCCAGGGCACCCTGGAGCCATCCCAGTCCCACCCAGGCCGTGCCAGGGCACCCTGGAGCCATCCCAGTCCCACCCAGGCCGTGCCAGGGCACCCTGGGAGCCATCCCAGTCCCACCCAGGCCGTGCCAGGGCACCCTGGAGCCATCCCAGTCCCACCCAGGCCGTGCCAGGGCACCCTGGAGCCATCCCAGTCCCACCCAGGCCATTCCAGTTCACCCTGGAGTGATTCCAGTCCCTCCCAGGCCATCCCAGTTCCCTTTGGATCCATCCCAGTTCTCCCCAGGCCATCCCAGTTTCCTTTGGAGCCATTCCAGTCCCTCCCAGGCCATCCCAGTTCCCCTCTGGAGCCATCCCAGTTCCCCCCAGGCCATTCCAGTTCACCCTGCAGTCATCCCAGTCTCCCCTGGTTCCATCCCAGTTCATCCTGGAGCCATCCCAGTTGCCTTTGGAGCCATCCCAGTCTCCCCAGGCTATCCCAGTTCATCCTGGAGTGATCCCAGTTCATCCTGGAGTGATCCCAGTTCATCCTGGAGTGATTCCAGTCCCTACTGGAGTCATCCCAGTTCCCCCTGGAGTGATCCCAGTTGCCCTTGGATCCATCCCAGTTCCCCCCAGGCCATCCCAGTTCCCCTGGAGCCATCCCAGCTCCCCTGGATCCATCCCAGTTCACCCTGGATCCATCCCAGTTCACCCTGGATCCATCCCAGTTCATCCTGGAGCCATCCCAGTTGCCTTTGCAGCCATCCCAGTCTCCCCAGGCCATCCCAGTTCCCCCCAGGTCATCCCAGTTCCCCCTGCAGTCATCCCAGTTCACCTGGGATCCATTCCAGTTCCCTTTGGAGCCATCCCAGCTCCCCCTGGAGTGATCCCGGTCCCCACCAGGCCATCCCAGTTCATTCTGGAGCCATCCCAGTTCATCCTGGAGTGATCCCAGTTACCCCTGGATCCATCCCAGTTCCCACCAGGCCATCCCAGTTCCCTTTGTAACCGTCCCAGTTCCCCTTGGATCCATCCCAGTTCCCCTGGATCCATCCCAGTTCCCTTTGGATCCATCCCAGCTCCCCTTGGATCCATCCCAGCTCCCCTTGGATCCATCCCAGTTCCCCTGGATCCATCCCAGTTCCCCTTGGATCCATCCCAGCTCCCCTTGGATCCATCCCAGTTCCCTTTGGATCCATCCCAGTTCCCCCTGGATCCATCCCAGTTCCCTTTGGATCCATCCCAGCTCCCCTTGGATCCATCCCAGTTCCCCTGGATCCATCCCAGTTCCCCTTGGATCCATCCCAGTTCCCTTGGATCCATCCCAGTTCCCTTTGGATCCATCCCAGTTCCCCTGGATCCATCCCAGTTCCCCCTGGATCCATCCCAGTTCCCCTTGGATCCATCCCAGCTCCCCTGGATCCATCCCAGCTCCCCTTGGATCCATCCCAGCTCCCCCTGGATCCATCCCAGCTCCCCTTGGATCCATCCCAGTTCCCCCTGGATCCATCCCAGTTCCCCTGGATCCATCCAGTTCCCTTTGGATCCATCCCAGTTCCCCCTGGATCCATCCCAGTTCCCCTTGGATCCATCCCAGCTCCCCTTGGATCCATCCCAGCTCCCTTTGTAACCGTCCCAGTTCCCCTGGATCCATCCCAGTTCCCTTTGGATCCATCCCAGTTCCCCTGGATCCATCCCAGTTCCCTTGGATCCATCCCAGCTCCCCTTGGATCCATCCCAGTTCCCCTGGATCCATCCCAGTTCCCCTTGGATCCATCCCAGTTCCCTTTGGATCCATCCCAGTTCCCCTGGATCCATCCCAGTTCCCTTTGGATCCATCCCAGCTCCCCCTGGATCCATCCCAGTTCCCCTGGATCCATCCCAGCTCCCCTGGATCCATCCCAGTTCCCTTTGGATCCATCCCAGTTCCCCTTGGATCCATCCCAGTTCCCTTGGATCCATCCCAGTTCCCCTTGGATCCATCCCAGCTCCCCTGGATCCATCCCAGTTCCCCTGGATCCATCCCAGCTCCCCTGGATCCATCCCAGTTCCCTTTGGATCCATCCCAGTTCCCCTTGGATCCATCCCAGTTCCCTTGGATCCATCCCAGTTCCCTTTGGATCCATCCCAGTTCCCTTGGATCCATCCCAGTTCCCCTGGATCCATCCCAGTTCCCTTTGGATCCATCCCAGTTCCCCCTGGATCCATCCCAGTTCCCCTGGATCCATCCCAGTTCCCCTGGATCCATCCCAGTTCCCCTTGGATCCATCCCAGCTCCCTTTGGATCCATCCCAGTTCCCCTTGGATCCATCCCAGTTCCCTTTGGATCCATCCCAGCTCCCCTTGGATCCATCCCAGCTCCCCTGGATCCATCCCAGTTCCCTTTGGGATCCATCCCAGTTCCCCTTGGATCCATCCCAGCTCCCTTTGGATCCATCCCAGTTCCCCTGGATCCATCCCAGCTCCCCTGGATCCATCCCAGTTCCCCTGGATCCATCCCAGTTCCCCTTGGATCCATCCCAGCTCCCCTGGGGACATCCTGCTTGTCTTTTCCCAAACCCCCGTTTTTCACCCCAAAATTCCCTTCCAGCCCCACAGATGGGGAACACCTGGAGTTCCCAAGGGTATTCCATGGCTTTTCCAGACGTGGCATTTGGGGTTTGTGTCCATGCCAAACTTTTGGGAATTCCCCCCAAATCCTTCAACCCCACTCCCAGCAAACCTCGGTATTTCCCCAAACCCCCGTTTTTCACCCCAAAATTCCCTTCCAGCCCCACAAATGAGGAACACCTGGAATTCCCAAAGGTTCTTCCAGCCATGGGAGGGTGGGATTTGTTTCTGTGCCAAATTTTTGGGAATTCCCCCCAAATCCTTCAACCCCACTTCCAGCAAACCTCAATATTTTCCCCAAACCCCCGTTTTTCACCCCAAAATTCCCTTCCAGCCCGGTGCCTGAGAAGTACTCGGAATTCCTGAGGTCTCTTCCAGCCATGGCATGGTGGGAAGGGATGGATTTGTGTCCATCCCAAATTTCTGGGAGGTTGGGAAGGGATGGATTTGTGTCCATCCCAAATTTTTGGGAATCCCACACAAACCCTTCAACCCCACCCCCAGCAAACCTCGGTGATCCCCAAAATCCCGTTTTTCACCCCAAAATTCCCTTGCAGCCCCGTTCCCGAGGACCAGCCGCCGTTCCCGCGGGCTCTGTTCCGCCCGCTGCCCCTGGCCGTGTCCTGGGGGACGCGCCCGGCCCACGGCACCGACCAAAGCACTTTAGAGCCACGGCCCGGCCCCGGCCGCTCGCCGGGCAGCGCCGGCCACCGGCCCGAGACTCCGGACTGGACCGAGCCTCCGGACGGTCACCGGCCGGAGCCGCCGGACTGGGCCGAACCACCGGGACGGTCACTGGGCCGAGCCGCCGGACGACGGCCACTGGGCCGAGCCACCGGACGGCCACCAGGTCGGGCAACCGGACAGCGGCCACCGGGCCGGGCCACCGGACTGGGACGAGCCCCCGGACGGCCACCGGACCAAGCCGGCACCGTCCCCGGATGAGAAGCACCCCCAGAAGGAACCAAAGCACCCGGAAGGGCTCGGCGGCGTGCAGCAGCCGGAGTGGATCTCCAGGAGCCCCAGCCCGTCCTTCCAGGACCCCGCGGCCGGCACCGGCCGCGCCCGGCTCGGCCCTCGGGCCGCGAATCGGCGCCGGCGTCGCGCAGAGCCAAAGCCAAACCCTCGGAGAGCGGCCGCGGGAGATCGGAGCCGGAGCCCGCGGCCGAGGTGGACGCCGCCCGAGCCGGACGTGGTGGTGGCCAAGCAGTCGTGGACGGTGAACGCCGAGGACTCGGTGGAGCGGCTGCCGCCGCCGGAGGCGCGGCCGTACGTGTGCGGGGTGCTGCTGGAGGAGCCCCCCAAGGACGAGGAGCCCGAGCGGGAGGGGAGCGCGCCGAGCGTGTTCACCTGCATCGAGTGCAGCATCTACTTCCGCCGCAAGGAGCACCTGCTGGAGCACACGCTGCAGCACAGCCGCAGCGGCGCCGACGCCGCGCCCAGCCCGCCGCTTGTGCTGCGGCGAGTGCGGCTGGGCCTTCGCCGAGGCCGCGGCGCTGGAGCGGCACCGCCGGCGCCACCAGGAGTCCCGCGAGAAGATCATCGAGGAGATCCGGAAGCTGAACGAGTTCCCGGACGAGGGGCGCGAGGCGCGGCTGCAGTGCCCCAAGTGCGTCTTCGGCACCAACTCGTCCAAGACCTTCGTGCAGCACGCCAAGATGCACGTCAAGGAGAGGAAGGAGAGCGCCTCGAGGAGCTCCGGCGTCTTCGGGGACGGGCTCTGCAAACCCTTCCCGAGCGAGGAGCTGCCCTCGGCGGCGGCGGCGCCGACCGGCAAAGCGCCGAGCGCCTGCGTGCTGTGCGGCTTCCCGGCGCCCACCGAGCACGTCCTCAAGGAGCACCTGAGGTACGCCCACTCGCACTCGTCCTGGCGGCACGAGAGCTTCGAGGAGGACCCCGAGCGGCCCGGCACCTCCCGCGGTTCCTACAGCCCCGCCCGGCCCGGCCGCTTCGCCGACGCCGAGGGCTTCGGCAGAACCGAGAGGGGATTCCTCCTGCCGGGAGCTTCTTCCGTCTACGAGCCCGCCCCGGCCGCCTTCGGTCAGCCCGGGTCGGACAAGAGCGACCAAGGGGCCGCCAAGAAGGAGCCGCACGGGTTCCACCACGCCAGGAAGGCGGCGCCGTTCTCCCACCAAAGCTCGGCCTCGGCCGGGTTCTCGCCGTCCAGAAGCTTCTCGCACTCGGCGCTGCAGCCCCTGCGGAAGAGAGCGGCCGCCCAACACCCGCAGGGCGACGGGGACGGCGCCCGCGGCCACCAGGAGCTGCGGCACGGGTGGGCCGTGGAGGACATGGAGCTGGGGGACAGCCAGGCCACCGCCGCCACCGTCACCGTCCCTCAGGCCGCGCTGGAGCTCAAGAGAACCTTCAGGGCCACCCTGAGGGCCACGGACCCCGCGGTGGCCTCGGAGGAGCAGCGGCGGCAGCTGAGGACGACGGTGCCCGTGGTGCTCCTGGAGGAGATGAGCGCCCACCCCAGGGCGGCCAAGAGGCCGCGGGGGAAGCCCCTCAAGAAGAAGCTTCTCCCACCACCACCACCACCACCACCAGCAGCAGCACCACGAGGAGAGTTCCTGCTGGAGGAACCTCCTCTCTCCTTGGACGTTCTGCTGCTGGACGCCCCTCTGGAGGGTCCCCTGGAGCTGGAGGAGCTGCTGGGCTCGGAGGCCACCATGCTGAAGAACGAGGAGAGGAAATGTCCCTACTGCCCCGACCGCTTCCACAACGGCATCGGCCTGGCCAACCACGTGCGCGGCCACCTCAACCGCGTCGGCGTCAGCTACAACGTGCGGCACTTCATCTCCGCCGAGGAGGTCAAGGCCATCGAGCAGAAGTTCTCCTTCCAGAAGAAGAAGAAGAAAGGTAGTTTGTACCAAATTCCTGCTGCTAGGAGGTGCCAACCGGGAGGTCTTCTGCTCCCGTCCAGCCTTGGGGACCTGCAGGGTGGGATCTGGGGCTTGGGGGGCCAAAAGGCCGGAGGTGTTGGTGGTCGTGGTGGCTACAAACCCACCTGGACGTCTGACCATGAGTCTTGGTGGTCTTCATGGCTACCAACCCACTTGGACATCTGACCATGAGTCTTGATGGTCCTAGTGGTCACAAACCCAGTGGACATCTGACCTGAGGTTTTGGTGGCCACAAACCCACCTGGACATCTGACCTGAGGTTTTAGTGGTCCTGATGGCCACAAACCATCCTGGACACCTGACCAGAGGTCTTGGTGGTCCTAGTGGTCACAAACCCACCTGGACACCTGACCAGAGGTTTTGGTGGCCACAAACCCACCTGGACATCTGACCTGAGGTGGATTTTGGGGTTTTTTTGGTGTTTCTGGGTGGGGTTTTTGGTGGCCCTGATCCCACCTCTCCTCCTCCGTTGCAGTGGCCAACTTCGACCCGGGCACGTTCAGCCTGATGCGCTGATCTTGGGGTTTTTTGGGGTTTTTTTGGTGGTTTTGGGAGGGGTTTTTTGGGTTTCTGGTGGTTTTTTTGGGATTTTTGTGTTCCTGGTGGTTTTTGGTGGCCCTGATCCCACCCATGACCACTTTTCCTCTCTGCAGTGGCCAACTTTGACCCGGGCACGTTCAGCCTGACGGGGTGAATTTTGGGGGTATTTTTGGGGTTGTTTTTGGTGTTTCTGGGTGGGGTTTTTTGGGTTCCTGATGGACTTTTTTTGCATTTTTGTGTTCCTGGTGGTTTTTGGTGGCCCTCACCCCACCCATGACCATTCCTCCTCTCTGCAGTGGCCAACTTTGACCCGGGCATGTTCAGCCTGATGGGCTGAATTTTGGTGGTTTTTTGGTGTTTCTGGGTGGGGTTTTTAGGGTTCCTGGTGGGTTTTTTTGGGTTTTTTGGGTTCCTGATGGTTTTTGGTGGCCCTGATCCCACCTCTCCTCCTCTTTGCAGTGGCCAACTTCGACCCGGGCACGTTCAGCCTGACGGGGTGAATTTTGGGGGTATTTTTGGGGTTTTTTGGTGGTTTTGGGTGGGGTTTTTTGGGTTTCTGGTGGTTTTTTTGTTTTTTTTGTGTTCCTGGTGGTTTTTGGTGGCCCTGATCCCACCTCTCCTCCTCTCTGCAGTGGCCAACTTTGACCCGGGCACGTTCAGCCTGATGCACTGGAGGTTTTTTGGGAATCTTGGTGGTTTTTTGGTGTTTCTGGGTGGGGTTTTTGGGGATTTTTGTATTCCTGGTGGCCCTGATCCCACCTCTCCTCCCTTGCAGTGGCCAACTTTGACCCGGGCACGTTCAGCCTGACGGGGTGAATTTTGGGGGGTAGTTTTTGGGGTTTTTTGGGTATTTTTGTATTCCTGGTGGCCCTGATCCCACCTCTCCTCTCTGCAGTGGCCAACTTTGACCCGGGCACGTTCAGCCTGACGGGGTGAATTTTGGGGGTATTTTTGGGGGTTTTTTGGTGGTTTTGGGTGGGGTTTTTTTGGGTTCCTTCTTGGGTTTTTTGGGTTCCAGGTGTTTTTCTGAGGATTTTTTTGTTCCTGGTGGTTCCTGGTGGCCCTGATCCCACCTCTCCTCCCTTGCAGTGGCCAACTTCGACCCGGGCACGTTCAGCCTGATGCGCTGCGAGTTCTGCGGCGCCGGCTTCGACACGAGGGCGGGGCTGTCGAGCCACGCCCGCGCCCACCTGCGCGACTTCGGCATCACCAACTGGGAGCTGACGGTGTCGCCCATCCACATCCTCAAGGAGCTGCTGGCCACGGCCCCCGAGCACCCGGCGCTGCTGCGCGCCGCGGGGCCCTCGCCGGGACGGGACCTCCTGCACCGGGACCCGCACCAGGACCTCCAGCGGGACCTGCACCATCACGGCGATCTCCACCGGGATCTCCAGCGAGATCTCCACCGGGATCTCCACCACGGTGTCCACCACGATCTCCAGCGAGATCTCCACCGTGATCTCCACCACGGTGTCCACCAGGATCTCCAGCGAGATCTCCACCAAGATCTTCACCATGATCTCCACCAGGATCTCCACCATGATTTCCATCAGGATCTCCATCGGGATTTCCACCAGGATCTCCACCGGGATCTCCACCGGGACCTGCCGGAACCGGCGCCGTTCCCGCTGCCCTGGGGGGACGAGGCCCTGCAGCCCTACAGGGATGGTGAGAGACCCCAAAAATGGCAAAAAAAATTGGGAATTTGGGGTGGGTTTGGGATCGTTTTGGGGTTTGGGTTCTGGGATGAGATTTTGGGGTCGGATTTTGGGGATTTTTGGGATAAATTTGGTGGTTTTGGGGGGTTTCGGGATTGATTTAGAGTTGGGGAGATGGAGAAGCTTGGTGTCCTCAGGGCTTTGGATTCTGGGAATTTTTGGGATAAATTTGGTGGTTTTGGGTGGTTTTGGGATCAGTTTTGGGTTTGGATTTTGGGATGCGTTTTTAGCATCACATTTTGGGAATTTTTTTGAAATGAATTTGATGGTTTTGGGGTCCATTTGGGGTTGGGATTTTTGGGATCTGCCGGAACCGGCGCCGTTCCCGCTGCCCTGGGGGGACGAGGCCCTGCAGCCCTACAGGGATGGTGAGAGACCCCAAAAATGGCAAAAAAAATTGGGAATTTGGGGTGGGTTTGGGGGTTTTAGGATCGATTTGGGGTTTGGGTTTTGGGATGAGATTTTGGAGTCGGATTTTAGGGATTTTTTGGGATAAATTTGGTGGTTTTGGGTGTTTTGTGATGGATTTTGGGTTTAGGTTGCCAATTTTGGGATGAATTTGGAGTTTGGGTTTTGATTTGGGGTTTGGGTTTTGAGATGAGTTTTTAGTGATGGATTTTAAGAATTTTTTGGGATAAATTTGGTGGTTTTGGGATCCATTTGGGGTTCGGGTTTTCAGATGAGTTTTTGACATTAGATTTTAGGGATTTTTGTTGGAAAAGGGTCGGGAACTCTGCAGAATCGACCCAAGATGGAGCTTGGGGTGGTTTTGGGGATTTTGGGGTTTTTGGGGTCCATTTAGGGTTGGGATTTTTGGGATCTGCCGGAACCGGCGCCGTTCCCGCTGCCCTGGGGGGACGAGGCCCTGCAGCCCTACAGGGATGGTGAGAGACCCCAAAAATGGGGAGAAAATTTGGGATTTTGGGGTTTTTAGAATGAATTTGGAGTTTGGATTTTGGGTTTGGGTTTTGGGATAAATTTTTGGAGATTTTTTTGCGATAAATTTGGTGGTTTTGGGTGTTTTGTGATGGATTTTGGGTTTAGGTTGCCACTTTTGGGATGAATTTGGAGTTTGGGTTTTGATTTGGGGTTTGGGTTTTGGGATGAGTTGTTGGAGTTGGATTTTGGAGATTTTTGGGATAAATTTGGCAGTTTTGGGATCGATTTTGAGTTTGGGATTTGGGATGAGTTTTTGGTGTCACATTTTGGAGATTTTTGGGATAAATTTCGGGGTTTTGGGATGAATTGGGGATTGGGGGGTTGAAGGAGGAGCCCCTCTGCATCCATGGTTTGGGATTTTGGGGATTTGCTGTTCGAAATCCAGGATATTTTAGTTCCAAACCCACAAAATTTTGGATATTTGAATCCCCAAATCCACAATATCCAGGATATTTCCAATTCCCAAACCCAAATTCCCCTGAAAATCCCCCAGATTTCCCCTTTCCCTCCAAATTCCACAGTTTTCCCCCAAAAATTCCCTCCAAATCCCCCAAATTTCCCCCCAAAAAATCCCCAATTTCCCCCCAAATTCCCCCCTAAATCCCCAAATTTCCACCCAAATCCCCCCATTTTCCCCCCAGAATTCCCAAAATTCCCCCTTTTTCCCACAAATCCCACAATTTCCCCTCAGAATTCCCAAATTTCCCCCTTTTTCCCCCCAAATTTCCCCCCAAAAATCCCCAATTTCCCCCCAAATTCCCCCCTAAATCCCCAAATTTCCACCCAAATCCCCCCATTTTCCCCCCAGAATTCCCCAAATTCCCCCTTTTTCCCACAAATCCCACAATTTCGCCTCAGAATTCCCAAATTTCCCCCCCAAAAATTCCCCAATTCCCCCCCACCGCAAGCTCCCCGCTCGGCGCTCGGCTGCTCTCCCCTGGCCTCTCTCGGGCCGCTCGCTCGCTCTCTCTCTCGGCGCTCTCGGCGCTCGGCCGCGCGGCCTGGCGGGCGCCCCGCGTGCGCCGTGCCCAAGATGGCGGCCTCCACCTCGGCCTCGGCCGCCGCCTCCCCGCCGCCCAAAGTCACCAAAGCGGCGGCGGCTCCGCGGCCCCGCGACCGCGACCGCGGCGGGGACGGCGACCCCGAGCCCCCGGCCGCGCCCGAGCCGGGTGAGCGCCCCTTTCCCCCGCCCCGCCGAGACCGGGCCCGCCCGCGCCCCCCCCCCCCTCACCCGCCCCCACCCGCCCCCCGATCCCCTCACGGCTCCCCCGGGGTCCCCTCACGGATCCGCCCCGCGCCGGGCGCGGTTCGGCCGGGCCGGGGCTCCGCGGGAGGGCGGCGGGAGAGCCCCGCGGGGCTCCGGGAGGCCGCGGCCGAGCAGCCGCCGCCCTCCTTTGTCCCGGCCCCGGCCCCGCTTTGTCCCCGCGGGACCCCCGGGATGCGCTCACGGAACGGGCCCGGCGCCGCCGGGGGCTCCGAACCGAGCCGGCCCCAACCGGCGCCGCCCGGGGCTGGTGGGGCCTCCGTGCCGGGGAGGGCCCGGTTCGGTTCGGACAGCCCGGTTCGGTTCGGGTCGGATCGGGGCTCCCGGCCCGGGGGAGGCGGGGAGGGACCCGGTGCGGCCAGGCCGAGCCCCGGGGTGTCCCCCAGCCCGGTAACTGGGAGCCCCGGCATGTCCCCGAGAGCCCCGGGGTGTCCCCAGCCCGGTAACTGGGAGCCCCGGCATGTCCCCGAGAGCCCCGGGGTGTCCCCAGCCGCAGCCCTGTCACCGAGTGCCCCGGGGTGTCCCCCCAGCCCTGTCACCAAGCACCTTCCAGGGTGTCCCCAGCCCTGTCACTGAGAGCCCCGGGATGTCCCCGAGAGCCCCGGGGTGTCCCCAGCCCGGTAACTGGGAGCCCCGGGATGTCCCCGAGAGCCCCGGGGTGTCCCCAGCCCGGTAACTGGGAGCCCCGGGATGTCACCGAGTGCCCCGGGGTGTCCCCCCAGCCCTGTCACCAAGCACCTTCCAGGGTGTGCCCAGCCCTGTCACCAGCAGCCCCGGGGTGTCCCCAGCCCTGCCCCCAGGAGCTCTGGGATGTCCCCAGCCCTGTCACCAAGCACCTTCCGGAATGTCCCCACTCTGGTCCTCAGGGTGTCCCCAGCCCTGTCATCGAGAGTCCCGGGGTGTCCCCAGGCTGGTTCCCTGGATGTCCCCAGCTGTGTCACCAAGCAGCTCCCGGGATGTCCCCAGCGCTGTCACTGAGAGCCACTGGGAGCTCTTGAATGTCCCTGAGAGCCCCAGGATGTCCCCAGCTCTGTCACTGGGCTGTCCCCAGCCCTGTCCCCAGGAGCTCTGGGATGTCCCCAGCCCGGTGCTCCCGGGGTGTCCCCAGCACTGTCACTGAGAGTCCCGGGATGTCCTCAGCCCTGTCACCAAATAGCTCCCAGGGTGTCCCCAGCTCAGAGCTCCCAGGGTGTCCCCAGCCCTGTCACCAGGAGCTCCCAGGGTGTCCCCAGCCCTGTCACCGGGAGCAGCTCCCAGGGTGTCCCCAGCCCTGTCACCAGGAGCTCCCAGGGTGTCCCCAGCCCTGTCACCCAGAGCTCCCAGGGTGTCCCCAGTGCTGTCACCGGGAGCAGCTCCCAGGGTCTCACCAGCCCTGTCACCGGGATGTCCCCAAGCTGGTCCCTGGGGTGTCCCCCAGCCCTGTCACCAAGGGGCTCAGGGATGTCCCCCAGCCCTGTCACCGAGAGCCTCAGGATGTCCCCAGGCTGGTCACTGAGATATCCCCCAGGGTGTCCCCAGGCTGGTCACTGGGAGCCCCGGGATGTCCCCCAGCGCTGTCACTGAGGGACTCCCAGGGTGTCCCCAGGCCGGTCCCCGGGGTGTCCCCAGCCCTGTCCCCAGGGTGTCCCCAGCGCTGTCACTGAGATATCCCCCAGGGTGTCCCCCAGCCCTGTCCCCCAGGGTGTCCCCAGCCCTGTCACTGAGCTATCCCCCAGGGTGTCCCCAGCGCTGTCCCCAGGGTGTCCCCAGCGCTGTCACTGAGATATCCCCCAGGGTGTCCCCAGCCCTGTCCCCAGGGTGTCCCCAGCCCTGTCCCCACAAGCAGCTCCTGGGGTGTCCCCAGGCCGGTCCCCCAGGGTGTCCCCAGCTCTTTCACCAGCAACCCCAGGATGTCCCCAGGGTGCTCTCTGGGATGTCCCCAGCCCTGTCACTGAGAGCCCCGGGGTGTCCCCAGGCTGGTCCCCGGGGTGTCCCCACAGGTGTCACTGAGAGCCCCGGGGTGTCCCCAGGCTGGTCCCCTGGGGTGTCCCCACAGGTGTCACTGAGAGCCCCGGGGTGTCCCCAGGCTGGTCCCTGTGGTGTCCCCACAGGTGTCACTGAGAGCCCCGGGGTGTCCCCAGGCTGGTCCCCGGGGTGTCCCCACAGGTGTCACTGAGAGCCCCGGGGTGTCCCCAGGCTGGTCCCTGTGGTGTCCCCACAGGTGTCACTGAGAGCCCCGGGGTGTCCCCAGGCTGGTCCCTGTGGTGTCCCCACAGGTGTCACTGAGAGCCCCGGGGTGTCCCCAGGCTGGTCCCTGTGGTGTCCCCACAGGTGTCACTGAGAGCCCCGGGGTGTCCCCCAGGCTGGTCCCTGGGATGTCCCCACAGGTGTCACTGAGAGCCCCGGGGTGTCCCCAGGAGCAGCTCCCGGGGTGTCCCCCAGCCTGGGGCTCCCAGGAAGTCACCAGGAGCCCTGGGGTGTCCCTGAGAGCCCTGGGGTGTCCCCAGCCCTGCCACCAGGAGTTCTGGGATGTCCCCAGGGTGTCCCCAGCCCTGCCACCAAGCAGCTCCCCGGGGTGTCCCCAGCGCTGTCCCCGGGGTGTCCCCAGCCCTGTCCCCGGGGTGTCCCCAGCGCTGTCCCAGGGGTGTCCCCAGCGCTGTCACTGGGGTGTCCCCAGCGCTGTCCCTGGGATGTCCCCAGCCCTGTCACTGGGGTGTCCCCAGTGCTGTCACTGCGGTGTCCCCAGCGCTGTCCCCTGGGGTGTCCCCAGCGCTGTCACTGGGATGTCCCCAGCGCTGTCCCTGGGGTGTCCCCAGTGCTGTCACTGCGGTGTCCCCAGCGCTGTCCCTGGGGTGTCCCCAGCGCTGTCCACTGGGATGTCCCCAGCCCTGTCCCTGGGGTGTCCCCAGCGCTGTCACTGGGATGTCCCCAGCGCTGTCCCTGGGGTGTCCCCAGCGCTGTCCCTGGGATGTCCCCAGTGCTGTCACTGCGGTGTCCCCAGCCCTGTCCCTGGGGTGTCCCCAGCCCTGTCCCCGGGGTGTCCCCCAGCGCTGTCACTGGGATGTCCCCAGCGCTGTCCCTGGAGTGTCCCCAGCGCTGTCACTGGGATGTCCCCAGTGCTGTCACTGCGGTGTCCCCAGCCCTGTCCCTGGGGTGTCCCCAGCCCTGTCCCTGGGGTGTCCCCAGCGCTGTCACTGGGATGTCCCCCAGCCCTGTCCCTGGGGTGTCCCCAGCGCTGTCACTGGGATGTCCCCAGTGCTGTCACTGCGGTGTCCCCCAGCCCTGTCCCCGGGGTGTCCCCAGCGCTGTCACTGGGGTGTCCCCCAGCCCTGTCCCCGGGGTGTCCCCAGCCCTGTCCCTGGGATGTCCCCAGCCCTGTCCCTGGAGTGTCCCCAGCGCTGTCCCTGGGGTGTCCCCAACTCTGTCCCCTCCCTGCAGGGACCTGGCCTCCCTCACCCTGTCCCGCCCCCTGCAGGGACCTGTCACTGTCACTGTCACCTCTCACTGTCACTGTCCCCTCCCCTTTAGGACCTGTCACCTCTCACTGTCCCCTCCCCTTCAGGACCTGTCATCGTTCCTGTCCCACCTGTGCAGGGACCTGTCACCTCCCCTGTCCCCTCCCCTTTAGGACCTGTCACCTCCCCTGTCCCCTCCCCTTAGGGACCTGTCACCATCTCTGTGTCCCCTGCAGGGATTTGTCACCTTCTGCGTCCCTCCCTGCATGGAGATGCCACCACCCCTGTCCCCTCCCCTCAGGGACCTGTCACTTTCTGTGTCCCCTCCCCTCAGGGACCTGTCACCTCTCAGTGTCCCCTCCCTGCTGGGACCTGTCATTGTCCCTGTCCTGCTCCCTGCTGGGATTTGTCACCATCTCTGTCCCCTCCCCTTGGGGACGTGTCACCTCTCTGTGTCCCCCTCCCTGCTGGGAGATGCCACCACCCTGTCCCCTCCCCTCAGGGACCTGTCACTGTCCCTGTCCTGTCCCCTTGGGGACCTGTCACCTTCTGTGTCCCTTCCCTAAAGGAGATGCCACCACCCCTGTCCCGTCCCTGATGCCACCATGCTGTCCCCTCCCTTTTAGGACCTGTCACTTTCTGTGTCCCCTCCCCTCAGGGACCTGTCACCTCTCAGTGTCCCCTCCCTGCTGGGACCTGTCACTGTCCCTGTCCTGCTCCCTGCTGGGATTTGTCACCTTCTGTGTCCCCTTCCCTTCAGGATCTGTCACCTGTCCTTCCCACCCCGTGCTGGGACCTGTCCCCATCCCTGTGCTGTCCCCTGCAGGGATTTGTCACCTCTCAGTGTCCCCTCCCTTCTGGGAGGTGCCACCACCCCTGTCCCCTCCCTGCTGTCACCTTCTGTGTCCCTTCCCTAAGGGAGATGGCACCACCCCTGTCCCGTCCCTGATGCCACCATGCTGTCCCCTCCCCTTTAGGATCTGTCCCCACCCCTGTGCTGTCCCCTGCTGGGATCTGTCACCTTCTGTGTCCCCTTCCCTCAGGGATCT